CAAGGTCTTACTGTCTTCTACTAAAAGAATCTCATTGATTTCAATGCCTTCTGTACCAGGCACTTATTTGACGTCCTCTTAGTAAATGGGAGAAATGCCATTTAACTATCCTATGCGTGGAATCATGCTTATACACCCTGATTTATAAAGGGATGAAGACATGTAGGCATGCCATACTCAATTCAGTATTATTATCAATTCAAGTTGATATTCAAGTGTTTGAAATCAGACATCTTGCTCATTCACAGATAAAGCTGTTCCACTGATGTAATAGAGGAGAAAGGCATGTCTATCGAATCAGTTACATGTAAAGCAACAAGGATTAAAGAGAGGGTAATAAATCCATTGGAAACCACGAATTATCCTGTCTTCAGTGAAAAATACACTACTGAAAAAGTACCTACCCATTAGGCAGGGTGGCAAGCCCCAAAATAAAATAGCCTGCTGGTATACTCACAATTCACATGTTTAAAAAATAGTGAGCCCAGGACTCAAATTGCCAAAAAAATAGCCTTTAATAAAATGGAAGATCTAAGGTTTTTCTTATTTGATTTCTAGGAGTGGTAGTGTTTCATGTCCCCATTGTTAAGCTTTGCTGCATAACAGTAGGAATTACAAATCTTTTTCCAAGATCACCTGAGATTATCAAGAAATACCCTGGTGCCCATAGCAAGGGCTCTAAGTCAAGTATGAAGTATCAAAAAAACTAGTGGTAAGACTGAGGAAGTCACAATGTTATCCTTTCTCTCTTTTCTTTCAGAAAAGAATCTGGGCATCCTGGTAAACAACAAGTTGAACATGAGCCAGTAATGCACCCATGCAACAAAGGCGGCCGACAGCCCTCTGCAGGGCTGCACTAGGAAAAGCATTGCCAGCAGGTGGAGGGAGATGATCCTTCACTTGTGCTCAGCACTGATGAAACATCTGGAGTACTGGGTCCGGTTCTGGGTTCCCCAATTCAAAAGAAACATGGACATACTGGAGAGAGTCCAGCAACAGGCCACAAAGATGATTAAGGGATTGGAGCACCTGTCATAGAAGGATAGGCTGAGAGAGCTGGGACTGTTTAGCCTCAAAAAGAGAGGTTTCAAGAGGGATCTTATCAATGTGTATAAATACTTCATGAGAAGAAGTATAGAAGATGGCACCAGACTCTTCAGTGGTATCCAGTGAAAGGAGAAGAGGCAATGGGTACAAATTGAAATACAGGAAATTCCATTTACAATTAAGAAAAAACTTTTTCCCTGCGAGGATGGTCAAATACAGGTACAGATTGCTCAAAGAGGTTGTGGAGTCTTCATCCTTATGATATTCAAAACCCAGCTGGACATGGCCCTAAGCAACCCGCTGTAGTTAACGCTGCTTTGAGCAGAGGACTGGACTAGTATATCTCCAGAGGCACCTTCCAACTGCAACATACTGCATATGACTTAAAGAGGTTAGAAATAAGAAAAAAAAGTGGCTTTTTTAAGGGAAACATATGTGAAAACTTTGGCAACTGCAGGAGAGAAAGGATGTAAAGGCTGTTCTCTAAGGGATGTACTTAAAAAACACCCACATAACAGAGTCCAAACACTTATTAACCCCAGGCTATAGGAGACATGCGTTTTTAGCAGATAAGTAGAGTCAAAAGAGGCCAACTAGATAGCAACAAACTTATTCTAAAGCCCATTGGATTAAAGAGAGCAGTGAAGCTACAAAGTTCTACCTGTTTTGTCCGCCTGAAGGCTCCCTTTAGAGCCTGGCTAAACTTTTGTTCTAGAACTGGAGGGGGGTATTTTGAGATCTGGGCTTTCCTATGATAGAGGAGCATTTAAAAAAAAATCATTTATTTACCTGAGATTACACACCATGATATATCATGTTTGTGTCATCTCTGCCTTCAATTCAACAAGCTACCACAAATTGCATCAAAGATCAACATATGCCATTTGATCATAAGCCACAAAGGGTTCAGTTCTGTCAAGGTTTCAATCAAGGCTGAAGGGCAGATGTCCTGAAGATTTGTGAGCATGGCATGCATAGAGCCTGCATTCTGATTCAGTCAAAACTAATTAGACCTTTCAAGCAACCTCCTTCTACTCCTGTGTACACAACACTTACAGAAACATTTGTCTCCTTCTTTCTCTGACAGAGTGACAAGGTCATGGAAAAGTAATGTTCCTCAAGGTTCTTCAAGTGGCTGCACCACACTGGCTTGGAATAAAAGAAAATAGTGAAAACTCTACTGACAGGAGTTCCAGCAGCCTTGACAGAGGGGCATCGTGTCAGAAAAGAAGTCCACCAGTGTGTTTGTAATTGTAATATTCAAGACATACCAGAGCTTTAAAATAAAAGGTAATCACCTCTTCGAAAGGAAGAAATGCTCCCTCTTGGATCACTACGTAGATGCCACCCTGCAAACTATTACCTCCCCATCTGCTACTGAGTCTTCACAGCAACATTCAGACGATGTCAGCAGTCCTAGCTTAAGGACCATTACCCATTCCTATGAATGAGGGAAGGTGTCTTTTCTGAGGATGTCTGAGGTCTGTGAGAGGAGCTGTTCCTCAACACCTTCCTCCTGGAGAGAACTGTGTGAGGAAATCACTACAAAGTAGGTAGGATGGTTTTCTTTCCTTTCTCCCTCTTTGCATAGAAGAAGGGTGATCGAAGACACACGATTTCTTTTTATACTTCATATATGTAGTTTACAGCTCCCCAGAGACAAACTCAATAGCAAGAATATACTGTGAACCCTTGATTGGTTCAGTGCTATTTGGACTGATGCATCTAAAACTAAAAGGAAGACCTGGCCAAATGAATTTCTGAAAAGTAGTTCAATCAGGTGTAGAGAGCCAAGTGCCATTTCTTGTGGGCTACACAAGGAGTCACAGTTCTTTCTCAGTGCTTGAGAGTCCATAATTAGCATAGCCCTACAGTGAGGACTATCATCTTACATTAAAAATTCCATCATTTGGGAATTAAAACTGCAGATTATTTTGTAAAGCATGGCCAAGATAAATCTTATTCTTTAAAACAAATCTTTTTAAGTATTGACAAATGTAATAAAATTTCAAACATGAAAGCAAAAGGGAAATTTTTACATTTCAATTCCAGCATTGTAAAGGAAACTCTTTCATGCTTAAAATTCAAACTCAGCATGTCAAGTAATTTCACTGTTACAGACTTGAATTACCTGCACTGGCCTGAGGGCATTATTCACTCTCTGAGAAAAATTGTACTTTAATATTGCTATGATTTTCCCAAGTAATTTTTGGGAAATGGCAGAAGCCAGGATGAATTTGAAACATCCATTTCAAGATTAGAGTGACGACATTTGGTGACTGCAGAGAACCATGTAATTGAGAATTGGGCTTAGGGATGTGCCCAAAATTAAGTATGGGAATGAGAAAACAATACTAATAAAAGGACCAATGTTTTGCTTTCTTTGCTTAACTTCCAGGATGTGGATATTGAATAGGGTTATAAAATACAAATAAACACTTACTTCAAAAATGTTTAGATGCATACACTATATTGAATGCTTACGCTATATGGAAAGACTATGAAATTGTTGGCCACTGTCCCAGCCCATGTAATAATTTCTGTCACATGCAGGAGGAAGGATAATCTTCCCACTCCGTTTTAATGGATCCATTTTTGGAAGCACTGAATTATTAATCTCTTTTAAGGGTTATCTGCTGCCTGATCATTTGTTAACTTCATATGAAGTTGGGGGCTGGGCCCAGAGCATGCTCTGAAGAGGCTTAACTCCACAACAGAGCCTGAAGTGAACTAAGGAGTTCCATCATTGACCTAGATAGGGCAAGCATTTAATGTACAAATAAATGTCCTTACCCAAAAGTGTATATCAAAAACATTTCAGCAGCATGCTTCCAGGTGAAACTCTGGATGAATTGGTTCTCTTGTGAGCACATGGCTTTGAAGAAATGTGCAGATAGAAAAACTGATGCTTTTATATAATGGATTCTAGCAGTAAAATAGGGTAATGGGGAGTACCCAATGTTTTTCTTATTTAAATGAAGTTTATTGTAGGATAGTAGATGAAAAATTTTACTATGTTAAAAAGTAGTAGGACTTATTAAAGAAAGCAAGTGAACAGATTCATTGTTTTCTTGACGACTTCCCAGATTATGTGTCTTACTATTTGTAACAAGGTGGGGCCACCTCATTACAAACTCAACCATAAATGTTGGTGTCTTGACTCACTACTTTCAAGGTAACTAATTGTCTTGAACCGAAGCAGGGATAATGCTGGTTCACATCTGTATTAGCTCTTATGCATTGAATCCAACGTCACCCTTAAATTCTTGCTCTGTGAGCCAATGAAGGCTGAAAAAATCACTGAGGACAAGAAGAAGCAACTACTTTGATAAATGAAATATGAAAAATTAGACATGACAGAAGTTCAGTAGTTTCCTCTTGTACCTGCACTGGTTTTGCCCAAGATTCAGTCTTGTTGGGAAAGAACAGCATTGTAAAGCAGGGAGAAGGGATCAAAAAAAAAAGGCCTCCTTTGAGAATTAAAGGCCTCCTCCCAGAACTATTACCCTGTTTTTTAACAGATAACACTAGAAAGATTCACCAATGACTGGTCTTCTAAAAACACGGTAAGAAATCAACCAGTGAACCTCAGTAAATGGGGCAATCTACCACATAACCTAGGCACACTGTCCTGTTGCTCACTGCAGCAGGAGAATTTTAAAGCTACAAGAAGTAACTGTGATCTAACTGTGCATGATCCACTGCCTACTGAAGTCAATACAAACACTTCAATTCATTACATTGCATATTAGATTCCAGCCACTAAAGAACCTAATAGTAACCAAACTATTATACCACAGGATAAAATAAAACAGTACAGTGTCAAAATTTACAATTGTGACAATATATCATAACATTAGCTAAAATTAACTCAGTGCGTTTTCTCCTTCAGCTAAATCTCCCCTATGAAAATTACTTCAATGTTTTGATTTTTCTGCTAAGCTTTTACTTACCTGAATAAAGATTTATTTTTGTTGTTCTTCCTCTTCTGCTACTGAAATGCAGCCCTGATGACTCTATCACTAAGTGGCTGAGTTGGTCTGAAGTTATCTCCTAAGATTCCATCACAGCCTTCTAAAAGTTCTGCACCTTTAACATGTGTCCTCAGTCTACGAAATTCCTCTATCTGAAAGGCAGAAAAACAGACAGGAAGAAGCTGAGATACATTCCACTGTGGGACTAATGATCAAAATCAGTCTTGCCCCACCACTTCTGCAGCTTTGAAACTTGGAGTGTTCAGGTACAATATACTAAGGTCAAAAGACATCATTAATAACATTTTAAAATAGTTGTCAGCACTGTCAAAACATCTAACATATAGAGAAAAATAAGAACTTTTATGCACATGGTTTGGCAAACTTATCCTTTGCTTTTTCGTAACTTCTTTTGGGATCTATAACCTTCTTAGCCATTGTGGATTATATCCTATGAATCAATCTCACAGTTGTGACATGAGAGTAATCATTCTGGTCTTCTTCAAAGAAGTGCATTTCAGGAATAAGTTGGTCGACTATAAATTGTTTTGAATTTTTTCCATTGATTTATTTATTGCCTGAAATTGTTGCTTCATTTAAATAAAAATTATTTTCTAAACAAGGAAAATTCTGAACAGACTCTCAGCTTTAGAGGAAGTCTGTTGACATTTTATACGGAAAAATATGATTTTTCACATCAAAACAAAATACCGCTTCAAAATTTCTGTAGATGTAGGTGCTAAGCGTACTTAGAAAATCAAATAGTGTCAAAAATCAATATAAAACATTTCAATTGGTCCAAAACAAATATGTTTCTGGTTTATAGACTCTTTTTACGTTTTTCTAAATCTAATCTGGTGTAGGGAAGAATGTGAGCAGCTTCCATCTCCATCCCTGGTATCAGCATCAAGCTCTGTGTGATAAAAACCCTAAGAAAATCAATGCATATCTCAGCAACATTATACCTTATTGTTCAACAATGCTGTTTTTAAGAGTCTGGTATTTTAAATAAGTAGTTACAACTACTAAAAAAAATTGTGTTTGTTTTTGCTTTGGCACATTGACAAGCTATCTTAGCTGGATACAGCAAACCTACTGAAGGCTGACTTCCCTAGCCTGAGCCTTTGTACTCGTACTGACCCTGTGATGCCTTACTATCCAGCTCAATTGTAACTTGAAACTGAAGCTACACAGAAAGCAAAATGGAGCCTGAAGTATTTAATCATTTTATCATCTAAGAAATTATAGAGTGAATTTCTCCATGAAAAACACCCTATGAGGGATTACAGGGAGAATGCAAGTGTGATTCCAGAATTAAAAGAAATGAGGTACTAAACAGCAGGCAATGGTATTTTTATTTTTATATTGCCTGAAGAGAATACTTTCTTACTGCAACCTTGAAGACAACTGCCTTCATTGTTGTTTTCCACTCTACAGCAGAATTGATACAGACTTATTTACCTGATTTAGAGGCTAGCTCTTCTCTGCTGTATTTTCCTCAAAAAACAGTGTGCTTATAAATCAACACTCAGCTTCTTGCAGCTGAGATATAAGGCAACAGCTTAGACTGAAAAGATGAAAAGCAGAACAAACTGTAAAGCTCCTTGAAAGTGCTTTTAGAGGCAGAACTCTGTTTTGGAAGATTTGTTTGTTTGTTTGTTTGTTTAAACAAACTGAAAACAAACCCACTACAGGCTTAGAACTGAAAAAGTCTTCAGGAGTCAAGTGCTGGTAAATCGCTGAACGGGTTTTGTAAAGGTACCTTCTTTCACCATCTGAATCAATTCTGGAAAGTCTGAAATAATTGTAGTTTAGGAAGAAGCATTTTACAAGAATGTGGCTTTTGTTTGATCTTTTGAGAATGAGAGACTTCAAACAAACACAGATGAAGGAGAGAGAAGAGCAGACTCTGCAAAGCTGGCATTTGTGAGCTGTCTCCTACAATAACTGCAAATGCTCTGCCCCAGTCCCCACAGTGAAATCTTTCTCCGGGAGGTACTCCTCACAAAGCAGCTTCCAGTTTCTTCAGTCAGGAAAGTAGGACTGACCTGATCCCTGTGCCTGCTCTTTAGTCTTCAGGGAAGTCAAGAATTGAAGCCCTGCTCCGAGGGGGAATTTCTTCTGAGCCCACCAGCCTCCTTGGTCAGTTTTTCATATCATGGTTCAGACCCCCATGACAGAGACCCTCTATATACATGGTGGTCTGCCTCACTCTTGAGAAGTAGTTGTCAGAAAAGGACATTGGCTGTGCTGATGTTACTTTTCGTATTACATTCCCATGTGATAAGGCAATAATATGTGTGCCCCACTTACCCTGCTTCCTCTAATATGGAACCATTTACTATCTCCTCCCAGCCCCTCACAAGTCATTGCTGTGAAGTACACCCTGTAGGACTACCGAGGAAATAGGTATTTTAGAGGCACATGGCTAAGCACCCTTGGATATTCACACACTTTCAACAGGAATAGCCATTTATAAAAGTTTTTCTCGCGCCCAGAAGACACTAAGGATGACCCAGGCCTGTTCACACAAAAATGCAGGATCCAATTCTAATCAGTGAAAGGGTAAATACATAATGTTAGCATTTCTACTGAGTAAAAACAAAGTTAGTTTATATTTTGTAGACTTTTGCAAGAATGTTTTTACCACTTCCCTGTATTCAGATCCTGAATACTGCTTTCTTCTGTTTCATTTAAAATTTTGCTGAAGAATAGAACACACAAAATGAAGAATTTGCATGTTTTCTCTACAAACATTTCTTCTACATGAGGAATAGAAGCATCATCCTTTTGTTTGAAAATTTCACATGCCTCCATGACACCTTCCAAGAACGCAGACCTGTTTCCCAGTAAACAGAATACTGTGAACCTCTCGGAGTGCTTTATTTCACAAACTACATAAATTTTGCACAATTCCCACTCCAGCTCCATATGCTCGTTACTATTTCTGTCCTTTAGGAGGTCTTGATTTTGAGTGAGGTAGACAAAAGGACTAGAGACCTCACCATTCAATACAAAAACAGTTAACTCCGACAATGAGTACAGAAGAACGACAGCTCCTTGCTGCATCATTGTTTAAAATCCCTACTCTGAATGGCTTAGACAATGTACTTATTCTGGGCTTCACTGAACCACAAAGCACATTATTCACAGATGTCCAATTTTTTAAAAATATAGTGGAGAGAAGCATGAGCAAGTCTTTTTCAATTATTTCCTGCTCTTTACTGGCCTAAGAGGAGGAATTTTTCTATTTTCTCCCATTGCATTTCAGCAGCATACATGCATGGGCAAGATGTCTCACAATAGCAGTCAACACAGTTCTTTCTGGGCTGTGTATTTCAACATAAGACAAGTGAGGACGATAAAAAACACAAAAGGAGGGCAGGAATATGAAAAAAGAGCACTGCAGGGTGCAGCTTTCCAGACAAGCTCCTTTCCACTGAGGTCAGTAATAAAACTCCCAAGGACAGGATTTGCAAAGCCCTTATTCTCCAGGGGAGAAGAGTCGCTTGCACACTTTATCCAGACCTCACAGAACCACCCATGAAGGAAACAGCTCTCTGATGGAAGTGAAGCCTCATGTCAAAGAAAATGACTTCCAGTGAGGAGACAGCGTTGGACTCCAGGAAAGCACATCCTGATGCTGCAGTCCTGGCTTGCTCTTTTGCTGTTCATATAACCAACGCACTCAGATCCCAGCTGCTGAAGTGAGGTGCATATGGAGATGAATCTCTTTTCACTTAACAGTGACTTAGATCAGTAGCAAATCAACTCATCAGTACCAACTTTACTATCTATAAATGTCTTCAGGAGAAACAGAAAAAGGTTCTCTACTTTGCAATGGTCAGCCGATTATGCCTATGCCAAAAAAGTTACTTCTCCATTGTTTCAAAATAAGCAAATGTGAAAATACATAGATGTGACCATGAACTAGAATTGCAATTTTATTCATTTTTTCCCCTTATGACCCACAGTTTGTTAAGCTAATCAATATTGCTATGTTTATTACAGAAAATGAGAATGTGAATTAGTATCTTGTCTCCAATATATTAACTAGCTTCATCAAAGGAAGGCAGTAAAACCTACTCCATATCAGACTGTATCATCTTTATTGTTACTTGTTATTGACACTCAGAAGTTGGTTATTTTATGGCCTGAAAAATGAAAGTAGCAAGCCTTGAATTTGTCTCTTACTGGCTATAACCACAGATGATACTAGTATTTATATAAATCGCTTGAAGTTTCATAAGCTGTGTTCATTAGTATCCCACAGAAGAAAGTTCTACAAATTAATGACACATGTAAAATAATGTATTTAAAACCATTAAAAATGCATTTTCACTGATACCTATGCTTTAATACCACAAGCAGGCTTAATAAAATTAAATGCCTTTACCAGCCTTCCATGGATGATTCAGAATGGTATATGCTATACTACATCCTCTTATTTTCCATAGACAAAAGCCCTTGCATTTCTAATCCCTCCTTAAACAGAATCTCTCATAGGTACTCATGCCCACATGCACAAAAGAGGCCAGATACTTAATTGCAGCCAAAATGCTAATTACAAGTTAAAATCTTGGATGTCTAGGCTATAGCAAAATATTCTGGCACCCCCAAAATCTTATTCTGGGCATCCTGAAGAGCTCTCAGTCCCTTTTGGCTTTAGAATCCCAGAATCACTGTCTCTCACTTACTTGTCCCCGTGTTTATTTTCAACTGACATTCTGAAAGGAGTATCTGATGCAAGGAAAATTTTTACCCCACCTTGGTGAAAGTCCTTCATGTTCTTAGTAAGTCCTTTCTGCACAACCTCAACTTTAATGCTGCTGCATTCATAACTAGCAGTGAGGATTTTTTTTCTAATTGATGCTGATCTACGACAAGTACAAAGTATTGTGGATCATCTTGGCATAAGTCCGCTCCAATCTCTCACTCTGCTCCAGTGCCACGTCTCACCTGCATACTGTGTCAGTGGCAGGGAAAAAGCCCCTCCATGACTTGTACGCCCTTCATCACTGCAATGTTCTTGTTTGATTGGATTTATACCAATCAAAGTAATGCAGCAACACAAACCAGCTACCCCTCACCTAAAGAAGGCCATGGTTATGAAACACACTCTTTTCCCAGGCACTGTGGGCCATTCTTTTCCCCAGGCACAATATTCTCTTCTGGAGACTTATCCCCTTCACACCATGTTCCAAGATCTTGTTTTCTTGTGGTAAATGAGCACATAATATTAACTAAAGTTGCATTTCTCTGCTTAATTCCTCTTTCATTCATCCCCTCACCGTCTCCCACCACATGTGGATGGCTTGAACTGTGCCCTCCTCTGTGCATTGACTGGATTAAAAGGGAATAGAGACTACAAAATCTGCAACTAGCATGAAATAAAATATCATACAATGTCTCAGTGTAATAGCTATGGTCTTTATACTTCTGATTAAGTCCTCTTACTTATCCATATCATATCTGGACAATTAGCTACCTAGTTACAAAATGCACTCTGTCTTTAAAAGTTATTCTTAATCTAGTAATGCCAACAGAGTTCTGTTTCCATTTACTCATTAGTAAGCAGCTATAAGACTTATCCTTTCATAAGCAAATAAATACCAGATTCCTGATGGGATACATTTAAGTTGCAGCTACCATACAAATAAGCTTATTGGGACCTATTGCTTTTATCCTATGATTAGAACTAGAATTCAGTTTTCATATGAAAAGAAACACTGCCAATTTCAAATTGTTAAAATTGTTAAAACATTGTGCTGGGATTCCTAGCAAAATTTTAGATTATTAAAGCTGAAATAATTTAAATGTGACTTTATCACCTTTTATACTTTTTTCTTTTCTGTTTGCACATGCTTCAGAGCAGTCAATGAAAATTAATGCATTCAGCTTCAGGGATTCTAGATAGTTTCACTTAAATTAAACCCACATTCCTCCAGTTGGGATTCACAGACTGTGGGAGAATATTCATCAGGAGTTTTCATTGTTTTTGCTGGGATTATTTGCAGACAGCTTTGAAATGTTTGCTATAGAAAGGCTCACATGACTGTTAGATATAATTTTTAAAAAAAAAACTTTAAAATACATACGTGTGAAATAAAATTTAAATAGGTAGCTTCCATTTGACAGTTTTTATAAAACAGAATTTAAAAAGAGCAAGATAAGTTAAATATAGTTCAATGCAATATAGCTAGCCTGTACTATGTTAACATTTTTCATTCTCCAGGACACAGTGTCTCCCTGTGCTTTTTTGTTCCTTTAACATCAAAAAGCAGTGATATTTGAAAGCTTACAGTTACAAAGAATTGAATTTCTTTTGCCCATTGACTTCTTTCTTTCTTTTTCTTTCACTTAAATAAAGAATTATTTTAAATGCAGATGAGAAATGATAACAAGGTTTTTCATCTCTGACCTTTGCATTGCTTTCAGTGACTCAAAAGGCTTAACCTTTACTTGAAAAGCCATGTACTGATCTAATGGGATCTTCAAGGAGAACAGATATAATGCCCTGATATATATATTTGCACGCTATAACCTTTAGCTGATAACCATATTCCAAGGTCACTTTAAGCACAGCTGTTACCTGCACTTGGGACACAGTCAAAGGATAGCGAAATAATATCCAGGTGACACCTTCACTGCAGGGTGGAATGGTTAGAGAGCCCTCATACACCCAGTAGTCACGCAGTAGAGGATCTGAAATTAAAAGAAATGTGGAATTTTAATGACATTAAGGAAGATAATTGTGGCTTTCCAATTATGACGGCTTATGATAGCCATGGACTTGCTCATATGATGAAGTTAGCATGCAGTAAGTTAAGATGTGAATTTATAACCTGCCAAGCACTGTCCCCTACTTTCTCATGTGAACATACACGAGCTTATGGTCATTATATTACAGTAACTTCCCTTGCAGATGAGTATTTTAAAGATGAAAATGCCACTTCATAGATGTGAAAAATAACATGCACAACTCCTTAAACTAACACATCAATGAAATAATATGGTGGGAAATAACTCCCGTTAGTGTCAAAAGCTACAAGAGACATCCCATTTTGAAGACAGAGAGACTGTAGTGATCACATTTTAACTGACTTCTATATTTAGGATATGTCTCAAGGATGAATTTATTTCATTTTTTAGAAAAATTCAGTGAAAATAGCTCAAGCCAAACTTTTCAGTTCACAATTCTGGTGACATATTTTTTGAGATGCATTGGTGTCTCCTAGCTTTGGAAAAGTGAGTTGAAATTCACAGGGAAAAAAATCAAGGTTTATTTAAAAATAAACTTACTTTAATAAGTTTATAAACTTATTAATAGGTTTATAAATAACTGTTAGAATAAACAGTTGTCTCTCAAGAAAACGTACAATGGTTTTAACTATGCATACATGTTTGATTTTAATTATTTTAATTTTAGTTCCCCAGAGATTCCAGTCAAACCACACTTCATAAGTGAGACTACACAGGGCTGCCCTTTGCTGCTGTAGGCCATACTCACAAATGACTCCCTGACACAGCTTAAGAAGTACATATAGGAAACTGCCTCACTGTAAAAGAGGGGACAAGAAACAAACCTTGAGAGGAACTGGAGACAAAGGCTGGTTAATCATGGCATGGAGAGCTAGGGGGAAGGTTGTGACTAGCTTGACAAGGACAAGATGGGAGGTTGGAAACTGGAATAAACTTGCTTGTTTGATCTAACTTGTTACTGCCATTTCACTACTAGCTCAGAGGAGTATCAGTGGAATTAAATCTTGCTAATGAAGCCTGTGATTGTCAGTTTTGTTTTGTTGGTGTAATTTTCTTTCTCAGTTAGGGAATTACATAGCAAATCCATTGAAAGCAAGTTGCATTGTCAAACACTCAAAAGTTAAGAACTGCAAGAATTCAGCCCATCCTGTGCATGCATTGTGACACCATCTTGTTACATGATCACGTATGTCTTTTCTAGAGAACCTTTCATCATTTACTTGCAAAGATAGGTGATTTTCTTTTGAAAAGCATCTAATAACATTTGGATTTCTCAGTACAATATGTGGTCCTTGGTCTTCTTTTTCCCATGCTATTCAAATCCTGCTTGTTAGAAGGACCACATTTTCTCATTTTTCGTATTTTCGTATGCACTCATTTCTTCAGTGTCTGAGTGCTTCACAAACATGAATTAATTTATCCTTCCAACACCCCAGTGTGGTGAGGAAGGACAGATTACCCCCACACTTTAAAGCTGGGGAACTGAGGCACAGAGAAGTTAAGGTCAAATGCATCTATTCATTTGAGGTGTTCAATATGAGATGCTTAGAACCTGATTTCTTAGAGTAGTTAACTTTCTATAGCACTTAATGCAGTCAGAGCACTGCTCCCATTGACTTCAGTTGGAGGTGTAAGCACTCAGCACTTCTGCAAATCAGACCCCATGATCTCAAGTCGGGCACCTAGAAAATGAGGAACACACAGTTAGAGATGACTTGTGAAAATTTTGGTTTATGTGACTTGATCAGCATCAAAGAGGAACTGTGAGGCAGGGGTCCTGTAAAAAATAACTTATGGTCACGCAATTAAAAGATGTTTTATAACACATATGCATGAAGGGGCACAGGCAGCCTTAATTCCTGTAATTCCTAATTGCTGAGCACTTGACTTTGCAACCTAAACAATATTCTCTTAATATAATTAATATAGGTTAATGTAGACCTGGATTACTTTGGAAAATTGAAGATCTTGCCACTATGACATGGAATTTAGCTCAGAAGGATTCCTTGCAGAAACATTCATCTTGTAGAGATGCATTTTTTAAAAAGTGACCTTTTTTACAAGACAAGGTAGAGGAAGTGGTTGTTTGTTACTGTTACTCTTTAACTTTTAGCTATATGTATTTGAATTTGCCTCCCATTGTCACTACCCCTTGTATGCTATACAACTGTCATCGCATTATGGCATTGTCCTTTGATGCTGCCAAAAAGCTACCTTGGTAAGTGGGTAACCTTGCTTCCTATTTTATGCTGAAGTAGAGAAAGGAGTACACACAGCTCCCCCTCAAGGTGGGATGATAAATCATCAAGAAAGCTAGCCACAGTGTTGCCAGCAGTGCATGGACTACAGTATCACATCCCACTCACATGATGATGGTGCGGATTTATCATAAGTTCCCAAGGGACTTCATCACTATCCCTGTTAGCACCACTAGGTGCAAAATGCCGTACCACCTTACGGGACACACTCTCAGGCTTGCAGTTAGGCTATGCTTTAGACCAAGATTGTCTCAGCCTCTGCAATTAGCTAGTAATCCACCCACACAAAAGTAAGCAAAGGCACCTACCTGGCAATAAAGAGTTGGGATTAAAACAGGGTATTGTTTTGGACTTTCCCTGAAAAAACGAATACAAATCAATCTCATCTCTAGTTTCTTATTAAAATGATGATGAATGGAGAGGTAAAACACACCGTGTGTTCTTATAACATTAAGCCTTGAATTCCTGTGCAAAGCAACCTCATTAATAGCCCCCATTTAATCATCACTGCATTTGTCCTTGCAGCTATACAAGCACCTTTTTTTATTCTATTTTATATTTTACTTCTAAGGTTATCTCAGCAATTTCTTAACTTTCTGCCTTTAGTACCTGGGCTCCTTCCAGGTCCTAGCCTTGAAATCTTCTATATGAAATTCAGGGGTTCCATACAAAATTAGTTTAAGAAACAAGGGCCAAAGTGAGCTTTTCCTTCACCGACGTGGATAACACTTAATAAAATAAAGCTGGTTCCACATATTTAATGCAAGAAAATTTTATGTATGCCAAAAGTACATTTGATGTTGACCCTCTGAAAGTCATTAGTATAACACACTCACAATGACAAGGCCTTTCATGACCTTCCTCCACTTGGCTGTCCTTTCAGTAATGAAACTACAGAGTTCCATACACTGTTGTTTTCTCTGACAAACCACAACACCTTCATAAACAATGAGTTTATAATATTAAACATCATGACTGAAGTTTACCATATATTATTTGACTAAAAGAGGATTTTCAATTCTCTAATAACAGCTTTTAATTTTTCTACACTTCAGCATCCACTGAAGTGAATGGCTTATCTCTCCAGACCAATACAGAACATCTCATTAATACATCTCAAAATCCTTTAAAATCAAAGGTAAGTATGATTATTTCTGTGTTACAGACAGAGACTATGAAGCAGAGAGATGGAAGTAACTTGCCCAAGGTCATTTAAGATAGCAACAACATTCTGGAGAGCACTCATATCTCCTCAGTCCTGCTAGGCTTATTATCTGTCCTTCAGGATCCCCACACATAATCCACCTGACAAGATGGCATTGTGTTTTTGCTGATTTCCCACTGCAAGTTAATATGGGTGCTCAGTTCATCTATTCTTTTCCTCTACAAATTAAAACCAGGTAAGTTTGGAGATGCTGTTGCTGCTGGTGTTCACTAAGCATGTTGCAGTGCTTGCGTTCACACTGACTTAATGAAAATCACTGAAAAGGTAGTACTTGCAATCAGTTACTGGTATAGAAGATCAAACCTTCTGGCCATCAGAAAAGGAAGTAACTATAAAGACTGTATATTACCTAAAAGTACTGTAAAATGCTGAGCTTCTGATGCAGGCCACCAAACCATGGCTTTCACACGTGCTTTTACTACAGACGCATCTGAAACCCTTCACTTGGCTTCAGTGTTTCATATATGCCCTTCGCTCTCTCACTCTCTCTCTGGTCAGTGAAGGAAGCATTTCTTCAGACAATGCCTTACCTTGTACTGGATGTCCTGGAGAATTTCAGTTACAGCCTTTAGGCCTACATGCTCTTTTCCTATCTGAAATACAGCAAGCAAAGATGAGTTTCAGTATTTTGCTATTTCTGAAACTGTGAGGCAAGACAGAGGTCAACCAGAACAGTAAGTTCTGTAGTTGTTTTCAGTTAAGCTACACAACCTTGTGTTAACCAAATACACTGATACATGGCAACTCCAAACAATTAAAACACAATAAAGTCACCAGTCAAAAGTAAACAAGGTGTAAATAACTTTAAATCAGAGACAGAAACTCACAGAACAAGAGAAAGAGTCACAGTTAAGTCTGGTAAGCTTTGACTAACCCTGTTTTGCAGCATATACTGCATGTGGAGTCAAAATCATGCACCATTACGGCATATAAATGCCAAGGATACAGTTTGTCCTTACCAGTTTTTGCCAGAAAAGTACACAGAAAGGAACAGAGTGAACAAACATGACAGACGCTTTTTGAATTTGCTCCCACAGTGTTCCAAATCTGACCCAAGGTATCTCTGAAGCTTGGAGGAGTTTTTTCCTGCCTGCAGAGCACAGAATGGCAGATTCCCTCCCTTATGGCATCTCTGGGATCCTGCTCCCGGCAGCCTGCAGCACTACTTTTAATCAGAGACAGAAACTCACAGAAGAGAAAGAGTCACGGTTAAGTCTGGTAAGTGACTAACCCAAAGGCTGGTTAATCATGGCATGGAGAGCTAGGGGGAAGGTTGTGACTAGCTTGACAAGGACAAGATGGGAGGTTGGAAACTGGAATAAACTTGCTTGTTTGATCTAACTTGTTACTGCCATTTCACTACTAGCTCAGAGGAGTATCAGTGGAATTAAATCTTGCTAATGAAGCCTGTGATTGTCAGTTTTGTTTTGTTGGTGTAATTTTCTTTCTCAGTTAGGGAATTACATAGCAAATCCATTGAAAGCAAGTTGCATTGTCAAACACTCAAAAGTTAAGAACTGCAAGAATTCAGCCCATCCTGTGCATGCATTGTGACACCATCTTGTTACATGATCACGTATGTCTTTTCTAGAGAACCTTTCATCATTTACTTGCAAAGATAGGTGATTTTCTTTTGAAAAGCATCTAATAACATTTGGATTTCTCAGTACAATATGTGGTCCTTGGTCTTCTTTTTCCCATGCTATTCAAATCCTGCTTGTTAGAAGGACCACATTTTCTCATTTTTCGTATTTTCGTATGCACTCATTTCTTCAGTGTCTGAGTGCTTCACAAACATGAATTAATTTATCCTTCCAACACCCCAGTGTGGTGAGGAAGGACAGATTACCCCCACACTTTAAAGCTGGGGAACTGAGGCACAGAGAAGTTAAGGTCAAATGCATCTATTCATTTGAGGTGTTCAATATGAGATGCTTAGAACCTGATTTCTTAGAGTAGTTAACTTTCTATAGCACTTAATGCAGTCAGAGCACTGCTCCCATTGACTTCAGTTGGAGGTGTAAGCACTCAGCACTTCTGCAAATCAGACCCCATGATCTCAAGTCGGGCACCTAGAAAATGAGGAACACACAGTTAGAGATGACTTGTGAAAATTTTGGTTTATGTGACTTGATCAGCATCAAAGAGGAACTGTGAGGCAGGGGTCCTGTAAAAAATAACTTATGGTCACGCAATTAAAAGATGTTTTATAACACATATGCATGAAGGGGCACAGGCAGCCTTAATTCCTGTAATTCCTAATTGCTGAGCACTTGACTTTGCAACCTAAACAATATTCTCTTAATATAATTAATATAGGTTAATGTAGACCTGGATTACTTTGGAAAATTGAAGATCTTGCCACTATGACATGGAATTTAGCTCAGAAGGATTCCTTGCAGAAACATTCATCTTGTAGAGATGCATTTTTTAAAAAGTGACCTTTTTTACAAGACAAGGTAGAGGAAGTGGTTGTTTGTTACTGTTACTCTTTAACTTTTAGCTATATGTATTTGAATTTGCCTCCCATTGTCACTACCCCTTGTATGCTATACAACTGTCATCGCATTATGGCATTGTCCTTTGATGCTGCCAAAAAGCTACCTTGGTAAGTGGGTAACCTTGCTTCCTATTTTATGCTGAAGTAGAGAAAGGAGTACACACAGCTCCCCCTCAAGGTGGGATGATAAATCATCAAGAAAGCTAGCCACAGTGTTGCCAGCAGTGCATGGACTACAGTATCACATCCCACTCACATGATGATGGTGCGGATTTATCATAAGTTCCCAAGGGACTTCATCACTATCCCTGTTAGCACCACTAGGTGCAAAATGCCGTACCACCTTACGGGACACACTCTCAGGCTTGCAGTTAGGCTATGCTTTAGACCAAGATTGTCTCAGCCTCTGCAATTAGCTAGTAATCCACCCACACAAAAGTAAGCAAAGGCACCTACCTGGCAATAAAGAGTTGGGATTAAAACAGGGTATTGTTTTGGACTTTCCCTGAAAAAACGAATACAAATCAATCTCATCTCTAGTTTCTTATTAAAATGATGATGAATGGAGAGGTAAAACACACCGTGTGTTCTTATAACATTAAGCCTTGAATTCCTGTGCAAAGCAACCTCATTAATAGCCCCCATTTAATCATCACTGCATTTGTCCTTGCAGCTATACAAGCACCTTTTTTTATTCTATTTTATATTTTACTTCTAAGGTTATCTCAGCAATTTCTTAACTTTCTGCCTTTAGTACCTGGGCTCCTTCCAGGTCCTAGCCTTGAAATCTTCTATATGAAATTCAGGGGTTCCATACAAAATTAGTTTAAGAAACAAGGGCCAAAGTGAGCTTTTCCTTCACCGACGTGGATAACACTTAATAAAATAAAGCTGGTTCCACATATTTAATGCAAGAAAATTTTATGTATGCCAAAAGTACATTTGATGTTGACCCTCTGAAAGTCATTAGTATAACACACTCACAATGACAAGGCCTTTCATGACCTTCCTCCACTTGGCTGTCCTTTCAGTAATGAAACTACAGAGTTCCATACACTGTTGTTTTCTCTGACAAACCACAACACCTTCATAAACAATGAGTTTATAATATTAAACATCATGACTGAAGTTTACCATATATTATTTGACTAAAAGAGGATTTTCAATTCTCTAATAACAGCTTTTAATTTTTCTACACTTCAGCATCCACTGAAGTGAATGGCTTATCTCTCCAGACCAATACAGAACATCTCATTAATACATCTCAAAATCCTTTAAAATCAAAGGTAAGTATGATTATTTCTGTGTTACAGACAGAGACTATGAAGCAGAGAGATGGAAGTAACTTGCCCAAGGTCATTTAAGATAGCAACAACATTCTGGAGAGCACTCATATCTCCTCAGTCCTGCTAGGCTTATTATCTGTCCTTCAGGATCCCCACACATAATCCACCTGACAAGATGGCATTGTGTTTTTGCTGATTTCCCACTGCAAGTTAATATGGGTGCTCAGTTCATCTATTCTTTTCCTCTACAAATTAAAACCAGGTAAGTTTGGAGATGCTGTTGCTGCTGGTGTTCACTAAGCATGTTGCAGTGCTTGCGTTCACACTGACTTAATGAAAATCACTGAAAAGGTAGTACTTGCAATCAGTTACTGGTATAGAAGATCAAACCTTCTGGCCATCAGAAAAGGAAGTAACTATAAAGACTGTATATTACCTAAAAGTACTGTAAAATGCTGAGCTTCTGATGCAGGCCACCAAACCATGGCTTTCACACGTGCTTTTACTACAGACGCATCTGAAACCCTTCACTTGGCTTCAGTGTTTCATATATGCCCTTCGCTCTCTCACTCTCTCTCTGGTCAGTGAAGGAAGCATTTCTTCAGACAATGCCTTACCTTGTACTGGATGTCCTGGAGAATTTCAGTTACAGCCTTTAGGCCTACATGCTCTTTTCCTATCTGAAATACAGCAAGCAAAGATGAGTTTCAGTATTTTGCTATTTCTGAAACTGTGAGGCAAGACAGAGGTCAACCAGAACAGTAAGTTCTGTAGTTGTTTTCAGTTAAGCTACACAACCTTGTGTTAACCAAATACACTGATACATGGCAACTCCAAACAATTAAAACACAATAAAGTCACCAGTCAAAAGTAAACAAGGTGTAAATAACTTTAAATCAGAGACAGAAACTCACAGAACAAGAGAAAGAGTCACAGTTAAGTCTGGTAAGCTTTGACTAACCCTGTTTTGCAGCATATACTGCATGTGGAGTCAAAATCATGCACCATTACGGCATATAAATGCCAAGGATACAGTTTGTCCTTACCAGTTTTTGCCAGAAAAGTACACAGAAAGGAACAGAGTGAACAAACATGACAGACGCTTTTTGAATTTGCTCCCACAGTGTTCCAAATCTGACCCAAGGTATCTCTGAAGCTTGGAGGAGTTTTTTCCTGCCTGGCACGCACAGAATGGCAGATTCCCTCCCTTATGGCATCTCTGGGATCCTGCTCCAGCCTGCAGCACTACTTTTATGGAATATCTTTAAGGCACGGAAGATGGGGCTTTCATAAAAACCCGTTCATGGAATATCTTTAAGGCACGGAAGATGGGGCTTTCATAAGAAACCCGTTCTTGAAATAAGATATTCTTATTTTGTATGAACATTGTTCACCCTGTACACTGATTTCAGCTGCTTCTGATCTAAATCACCCATCCTAGGACCCTAGCTTTTACCTTCAGAACAACACTGGCAAAATAGTTAGACTCAGAACGGCCTTCCACTTGATTTCTTTGCCAACGTGTGCACATATGAGGTGAGGAATGAAGCAGGCATGAGTGAGAACGGGACAGCTGGACCCTGAAAAATTTGTTCGCTTTTTGTTTCTCTTGGAATAGAATGCCACAGTAGTCACTGGAAGGAAACAATTGAATGTAAACAATAGATAGGTTGTCATTTCTAGGAATTTAAGAGGATTTTCTTTTGTTTCAGAATGGGTTTTCCATTTAAAACCTTCAAAGTGGGTAAAAGATATTGAAATGTCTTCAAAGATGCTGTTTCTAAATTAATAATCACCAAGGGCTGTCACTTAAATCAGTGAAAATATTTTCATTGACCTTAAAATGATGTGTTTGAGAACCGTGGTGCAAAACTATTACATTTCCATGCCTTTAACAGGAGAAATGGTCACTGAATTTCCTGTCCCCATTCCTTTAATAAACAGCATAAATACTATTTTTCCTTGGTCAATTGTAATTATATGATGCCTTTCTTGGCTAATGAAAAAGCCGTTTGGAATGCTTAAGAACTCTGATGAAGGTGAGAGACTAGAAATGGAAAATGTAACATTGAAGTTTCAGATTTATTTAAGAACTTATATATAATTTTCTAACTAACTTGAAGGTTACCTCTGCTGGAATTAGAAGGTGACTTACATAAGCAATTATCACACAGCCCTCTAGGATACAAAACTGAAGACATTCTAACTTCCATTTTTAGCAGTTCTATCTGATTGTTGGAGCTGTAACCAATGTACCTTTAAATTCAAACAGAGGTAAAGCTTAAAGGCATTCATAAACTTGTTACGGAATACGACAAATTAATAATATCACTGTGAAAGAAAATCCATTTGATCTAAGCACGAACTCTAAACCTCTTCCTCCAAACCCATTTAAATAAAACAGTTTGCCATTTCTTATGAGGAGGATGAGAATCTGGTGCTTGAGGACTAAAACTGAAAATCTTCTTTATAGAGTGCAGCCCTTGAAAAACCTTCAACAGCAATTAGATTATGGGGCAAATTTCCCAGCTTGCATTACACCTTCTCCCCAGCAAGCTTTCAGCCTCCTCATTGCAGCTTTTCTGAGGGTCTGTGGCAAGACTCTATACACTCTCAGACTGGAGCCTCTGAAGAATTAATATGACTCCACCTCATATTTGTCCTGTGTGAAGAAACACACTTGTCACTGTGTTCAGAAAACACAATCCTACTACCAGTTTTTGGCTGTGCCAATGGGTTAGTAGGGTTTTTTTCCCTCTTTCCTCCTCTGTATATTTCCTCAATCCCCGAACAGCAGGCCTGGTCAGGAATGGAGAAAAACACCTTACAGAGGTAGTGAAGCACCTGTACCTCCTGACAGCCCTCATTCTGCCCTCAGAGGAATGGAGAGTGGATGTCTGCTTATAGTCAGTCACAGAGAGAGATGGCCGACTATGTATTATCCCTTCTTTAACTAAGATACTTTCAATATCCTCTTTAAACAAGAATTACTTATTTAGCACATACCTACACAGAAGACATGACTGAGAAGTATCTTTTGAATACAATACCAGCAGTCATACATTGTTCTATTTTATGAAATCATTAAAAATGAAACAAAATGGAAAGGAACTTCTTTTCCTCAGACAAATGATAGTGCATGATAACAAGTGCAACACAGGAAACTTACCTGCACAAACAAAGCAATAATAGCTATGCCGTGCTTCTTCCCTACTGCCTCATCAATGCTGCTGTACAGTGTGGAGTTCCAGTGCATTAGATGAAGCTAAAACAAAGCAGTGCAAATAGACCAATAGAGAAATATGTTTTGTAATAAAAAAACACCAGCAGTTAACGTCAATTAACAAAGTCTCAACATGTGTGTGTGCATGCGTGAATATACGTATGTGCATGCCTATGGCTGTGCACGTATATCTATATAAGTGGATTGCTATTATAAACATCAGGAATCCCAAGAAAAAAAAGGTCGGCTGCAGAGAAAGTGATGTATAGCCAGTTACCAAATATCTACAACAAAGGTGGGAATAACTACGTTAATGATGCTAATGATGATTTACCAACTCCCTCACTTTGAATACTGAAATGACGTCACCTAATGAAACCCACCAGTCTTGCCTCTCAGCCAGCCAGCTCTCTTCCAAGGCAGGAGTATGATTATGGACATAAGCTGTCCAAACACACGTTTGATTATCTTAATGTCACTTGTCTCACATATCACCTCCCAGGATGAGTCACTCAAATGTCAGTAGTAAGAGTAGGAGAAGTGATTTCAGGAAAGGTTAAACATAGAGAAAGTCAAGCAGAGAAAAATGGCTGGAGGACCACCTTAGGCACAGCAGTGAAAGGAATGCTAAAGAGTAAAACACGAGCCCTCAACTGCCTTCTTCTGCAAGGTAACAGGGCCTGTAGGAGTTAATGCATGAATACATGTCAGGCAGCAGGCACCGGGTGGTAAACACGAAGTCTGTTCTGGTGCGGTGTCACAGCATGACTTGGGAAGTGGTGTTTGAGAAAAGTGCTGGAAGACAGACTAGCAGGCGGTTGGAAAGGGAGGAAGGAAGGGAGGGGAGGGAGGGGAAGGAGGAGGGTGGGAAGGGAGATGGGGGGAAGAGGGGAAAGAGAAAAGTGCTGGAAAACAGACTGACAGCAGGAAAGAGAAAGAGAGAAGGGGGGAGAGGGAAGGAAGGGCAGAAGAAAGGAAGGGTGGAAAGAAGGGCAGAAAGGTGGGGGGAGGAAGGAAGGAAGGAAGGGTGGAAGGAAGGGTGGAAGGAAGGAAGGAAGGAAGGAAGGAAGGAAGGAAGGAAGGAAGGAAGGGACAGCACTCTCTACTGAGAGGCAATATGCATTTCAAACATGAGTTTTTCCAGCACTAATGCTAAAATGTAATCTCTGTGGCTGGGTCTGATAACATTGCAGAGCTTCAACATCCTAAGCACAGCTGCTTTGAAGTCTATCTGCCAACAACTTTTGCACATTCCACATAGATAAAACAGCTAAAAAAATACAAACTCTTAGATTTAATTCCCGTTGTAAAATTGTGATGAATGTTTTGCTCAGTCATGTGCCTAAGCAGTTAAAATGTCAACCTGTTATCTAGCATTGTTTCTCCCTTCAGCAAAATTATTTTTTAAAACAGATAGTGTGTCTTCCTATTTCGTGTTTCATTTCTGCCCAGTAACGGCCTCTGTGAAATGCTTATTTCCCCTTACACAGCAGTTCACTCTGGCATCTCAGCATTTCAGAAGACCAGTTCCTCAAGCGATCACTCTCCCCTTATTTAATCTCTGATGAGAATTTTTGGCACCCCTCTTGATGATTGTCGTTTCAAAAGTCAATATAAAATTTTAAATTAACATATTGTAAATCGAATTAAATTCCAAATTATCATACAAATAATTCTATTCATGCTGATCAAAGGCATCTGCTGCGGTAAAACCATGAAACCTTTTTCTTAAAAAATATAATAATTAATTTGCACATGAGAACACTAATACAAATGTACTTGCCCACGGCTACAAAACTTCTAGACATATAAATGCTACCTGTTAGAACTAAGTTATCTCACTATCGCCGATGGATTTACTTGGTGCCATGTATTTTATCATCTATAAAAAGCTTTGTTACACATTTGATTTGCCTTTGGCTTTTAAAGTAACAAAACCACAGGATCAAATAATGAGATTTCAGTCTCCAGCACTCACTTCAGCAGACACAGAACTACCACCACCCAAGAAGATAAAGTCAAAGCATTGCATTTTCCAAGATGAGCCTGGAGTTTGCATCAGCTATCCACCAGAGGGGGCTCACGGAGTCCCACGATCCTCGCCAAAATCCTCACGTTAAGAAGGAAACATGAAAGAAAAAGGTTGGGGTGACTGCAGTGATGGCAATGTCCTTGGTGCGGCGAGAACAACGCTGTGTGGCACCACCACTCAGTTGGTTGGAAATGTCAAAGCAAGCTTGTCCTTTAATGGCTGGAACAATAGCACTGAGAGTGATTGCCAAATGTAAAGAGACCATGACTTTGACTGTGTCAACAGGCGGGTCTTGGCTACAGCTGCTGTGGCATTCAGCAGCGTGTTACGCTCCTTTGGAGGTGAAGTCTAATCTGACATTTGTCTGCATTCTGACAACAGTGTTTTTTTTCTGAAGATTTGAAAGGAAAATGCTGAGCCTCAGCAAGAGGAAAATGAGCAAGCACTTCAGACTGTACCAGCAATGACCCCAGTTTATCCAGAAACAGATTGTTGTCCTGTCTTAGGCAGCAGGCTCATCAGGGCAGAGACTTTCATATGATAAGGCTATATATCAGCTAGAAAAATGACACCAAAACCTCTGTGTAATACTAAAAAACATTAAGAGGTCTAGCGTTAGTCTGTGCAGCAGCATAAGCAGCCTGACAGGAAGACGTGCTGCAAAATACACTTAGCTGCTGCATGAAAGGGGGACCACAGTGTGAAATGCCCTGCAGCTGGAACTGCTTTACAAGGAACATACCTACTGGCCAGCACCTCTTCCCACATCTTCAGGGGACGTGGGAAGAGTAAGTTAAGTATTAGCTACGCATTTTAAGAGTATCTTTAGGTCTCTGCATCGCCTCCAGGCCTCCTTCCTTTCTACCAGCTCAAGAGAGGTCAGGATGGTCTACTAAAAAAAAAACAGAACACAAAGACAAAAAAGGGATGTATTTAAGGCTAATGTAGACATCCCTAGACTAGGTTCAGGTTTAGTAATCAACATTACTAAAGGTACTGAAATAAGCACTCAGCACTTTCTGGTCCAAAGGTTTCTGTAACTTTGAGGTTCTGCTCAAGGATGCTTAAAATACACAGTAGGCTCCTTGGAACAAGAATCATCATTTTGTACTGGGTTGCTAAAGCCCAAGGTAGAACGGACTTCTGGTCTGTGTTCAAGATGCTACTGTGTTACTCCCTCAGAGGTGGTGATAATTACAGTGGATTAGTAATCTATTTTTCACACAGCAGGTTGTAAACTTGCTGTCATAAACACTGTGGTGCCAAATAGTATCAGCAGGTTCATAAATGGATTAGACAAATTATGGACAAGTCCAAAAACAGACACTAAAGAGAACAGGTAGAGATGCTGCCTCTAGCACTCCTAGTCCTATGACGGTAGGTGACTGGGGAGTACAACAAAAAGTGGTCAGGCTAATGTGCTCTCCCTTTACAGCATCCCTTACTGACACCGCTAGAGACAGAGTACTGGATGGACCACTGGCCTGATCCAGCAGCGTGTTTATTATGTTCCCATGTTCTGAATCAAGGTGATATTCGGAATAGCTATTCACAGAAAAGGTTCTGTCAGTAGGGATTTACAAATTGAAATTAGACAAGCAACCTAATGGAAAATAATAAATAATACCGTGATATTTCCTAGCAACAGGCCAGCAGGCCTCACATCTTTTGCTCTAACTCTGATAAGCCCATGCATGCACACTTAAATAAATAAACGGATGTCAACATGCACTTAAATAAATGGAAGTCAAATCAAATGAATTCTTCTACAGAGCAGGAAAAATGTAACTCAGATGAGAGCTGAGTAACTAAACAAAAAAGTGATTCAGAAAGGGAAGTATTAGCAAGGAAGTAGTAAGGCCTGAGTGTTCGTAGCAAGGTGTCGCTTTCAAGTTGTGGTTTATCCTGTGTGTTCATGTGGTTCTCTGGAGCTGTTTTGTTTTTTGTTTGCTCTTTTTTTATTTGTAATATGACATCAGATGAAAACATCAGATAACAGTTAAAAAAAAAGATGGCAAAAAGTCTACAAACATTACAAAATTTGAACTCTAGAGAGTACAGTCCACAAACAGCATGGCCTGTAACTCTTGCTAATATTTATGGGAATCAGATGTGCACAGAGGAAAGACCTTCAGTTTTACGTTGATTTAAGACAGCTATATAAAAAGTGCTTATTCACAAGGGGTGCCAGTCTCCAATATGAACACAACCATGTGGGTTTTTTTACATATTCAGCTGTAGTGTATTGGCAGCTTACCATTGTGTCGTTTTCATTCGGAGTACAAACAAGCTGCACATGTCAGTATGGCAGGAGAGGCTCTGCTCAACTTGTTAGTTAATGTTTTGATACTCGGTAGTTATGATGTTTCTATACAACCAAAATGAGTCAGCTATGCTGTTACTGATTATTGGTGGCTGGCTCGGCGTGCCAGACAGTATATTTTTACAAAATAATCAGAAAGCTGTGAGAAACTCCTTAGCACTCAAAAAATACATTTTTCTCTTGGGTAAAAAAACATAATTTGGAGCCTCTTAACATTCCAGCTGTAAATCAAAGAATTGTAGCAGTGGCTTCCTTAAAATCAGATGAACTGAAAAATCATAAAGGCAAATTATAATAAAGTGCTGATAAAGTTGATTTGTTCTGTGAACAGCTGGAAAGACACTCCTTCACAGGGAAGATTAAGTAATTATTCCAGGTAGCAGAGCGAACCTCGCAGAAGTATTATTCTGTATGGAACAAATTCTGAGAATCTTCTCAATGTTCATCCAGTCTCCACTCAACCAAAAGACTATTGATCCCAGTCCTGATGTCCTTGCTTAGGAAAAGCTGACACTGACATTAACAAGGGGCCTGTCTCAAATCAAGACTTTTTCAAAACTGAGTAAGGACCTGAGAATCTGGCTTTAAAATCAATAAACAAATGAAAATCCTACACTTAAATCCGTTCCTTTCTCTACCACAGAAATATCCTTTATGTCAACACAAAAAGAAAAAGCCTGGGATGGA